ATTGAATTTAATTGATTCATTTGATTGGTCAAAGCTAGCCAATCATATGAATATTTTTCTGAGTGTGGATTCTGCGGGAATTCTGCGGAAATTGTGACACTTTCTGCAATTAGTATCAGAATTCCGTGATTCTGCGGCATTCCGTGAAACGCAGAATATCATCGTCCCTGAACTGTATAACTGATAATTTATCATAACAGATTAGGCTTTATATTCTCTATGCTTTCATGATATATATTATTTCTTTGAATCTTTATATAATGTAAGCATGATTTAAACAATTTTAATGAATCAAAGATCGAACTTGTGTAAAATGTTCATGAGTAAAGATAACTTGACTAATTTGGTGCTGAATATAATGTTTTACAGTATAAAAATATCAGTCCGACAATCCTGAGTTGTCTGATAGTATTTTACCCATTTTATACGGGTAACTTCAAATTGCCAAGAGAATTTATTAAAAAGTTCGTTTTTGCCATTAATATGTTAATAATAATCTCTTTTAGATATCAGTTTTTTTAAAAAAATAATAAATAATAATTTGTTTAAAAATCTAGTAATTTGTATTCTGCTAACTCGCTATAAACATAAAATTTCGAAATTTACGAGTCGTCATTTTTATCGGCAATTTGACATATCTTTTAACAATATAAAGCAATGTTAATTACCATCTTATAAATTAAAAAAAAACACTTCAATCACCATATTATTACCTTTCTATATTTTTGATATGGAAATGCGGGTGCAATATCAATTTCATCGGCAGGGAACAACCACTCTAAAAATCTCCAAAATAAATAATCAACAGCCATCACTACACAGAATATTTTTCCAGCCCATATACCACATCCATAATATCTTTAGAAAAAATTAAAATTTATAATGCAGTTTAAATATGATCAATTATTAGCAAATAAAAACTTTATTAAGATAATAAATTATGTAATGTGATACCTTCTTAATCTTTCCATCAAAGGTGGTGTTTTCAATTTCCATATTTTGTCATAAACCTTTTCGGATAAGGAAAGTTAATAATTAATAACTTTATTATTGTTGATTTATATGGTGATACATCATATACGTTTTAAAATTTACCTTTTCTGTTCGTTCAGCGACATTACACCAGCTATACATTTCTTTAATTTCATCATGAAATTTGGTTGGTACGACCTCTTTAAGTCTAATCATTTTGATAGCTTTTGACACTGCATTAACAAGATCTGTTGTAATACCAGAAGAAATAGTTATAAAAACTATAGTCTATTTTGTCTTATATTTACCAATTATTTTGTATATAATTTTTCCAATAGCTTATAAATGAGTACCTTCTTCTTCAGGCTTAGAAAAAATAATCATATGTCTAGGAAGAACTTCTGGTACACCACCAACTTTTGTACTCACAACAAGTAACCTTTGATGTACCGAAAATTATTTCTTTATAAATTACTATATTAAGTATTATTTGAATTTACATAAAATTATATTTTATTACATACCCACAACAAGCTGCTTCAACCATACCAATACAAAATGCTTCTGTTAAGCTGGTATTCAAAAAAATGTGCCCCTTTGTCAAAACCTGAAAAAAACAAACCAAAAAATAAAATATAATTGTAAACTATTTCATGCAACATAGACCGAAAGAGAATTAAATCAAATATGCATCTTTTTTTTTTCTTACATTATGTACTTCGTGATGCATAACTGGACCAAGAAATTCAACACGATCATGAAGCAAATTTTTTTCTCTCATTTGTTCTAAATCGATTCTTTTTGGTCCATCACCACCTTTATGAGATTTATTTTCAGTAAAATATTCAAAAGAATAAATTTCATAGTGTTTCGATCCGTAATCCGACAATTCGAATTGATCCGATAATTCGGATTAAATACGGATATCCTAATCTGTTTA